AAAAAAAAAATGGAAATTTTTTTTCCCACCAAAACATCAAGAATTTATTTTCCTTAAAAAGGTGGAAAATGAGAAAATGTGGGAAAAAATTTCTCGGGAAAATTTTGCTTATCAAACACTGTAAGAGTTGGAAAATGGAAAAAAATTTCCATTTCCCATAAAATATAAGGCGAATCAAACGGAGCCTAAGGCAAGTTGAGTATTCCATTTTGCACCTTTAGTAACACATCTTTTATGGTTTTACCAATCACATTTCAATTTAGATATTTATATAAGTTGAACGGGCGAGAATTTAGACATTTCACATTTTACGCAAGTTTATAAATATAGCAACATTGTTTCAACATCAAAATGATTAATGAAAGAATAAGATTTCAATGTAAGTCGTAATCAAATCGCACATTTGCTAAGGCAAGTCGAGTATTATATTTTGCACCTATAGAATTTATGCTTATTTCACGTTTTATGCAAATTCATAAATATAGCAACCTTATTTCAACATCAAAAGAGATGGGTCGAAATCATATCACACAATTGCTAAGGCAAGTCGAGTATTCTACTTTGCACCTATAGTAGCATATCTTTTTCAGCTCTACCAATCATATTTTAACTTTGGATAATTAGCGCATAACGTTCCCAACTTTTATTGTTATTGTGGAAAACGTCCATACTTTTCATTTTTTTGACATTTTCACCATTTTTTCCACATTTTATTGCGCAAAAGGTCATTTTTATCCATTTTCTCAATTAAAAATTGTGAAATGACGAATATACATTTATCTTTAAATAAAACAAAAGGAAAAAGAAAAAAATAATTGCAATCATATTTCCAAATTTTTTTAAAAGGGCAAATTAGTTCCAAATAAATTATTAAAAGGATAATGAGTATATAATGTCCTTATCTTTCACCGTTATTGCAAAAAATGTTCATACCTTTCATTTTTTTGACATTTTTACCCTTAATTACACATTTGATTCTGTAAATCATCATTTTCATCTGATTTCTCAATAAAGAATTGTGAAATAATGAATATACCCTCATATTTAAATTAAAATATACATTTTTTAATTTTTAATTCTTTAATAATTTATTTGGGACTCGTTTATACTTTTTAGTTTTTAAATAAATTTAATTGGGACTCGTTTTAACTTTTTTTAAAAAATGAAAATTTTTAAAATGATTTATTAGGAACTTGTTTGCATTTTTAAAAAAAAATGGTACTATGATTGTAATTATCTTTTTAGCTTTTTTTATTTAAATATGAAGGTATATTCGTCATTTCATAGCTTTTATTGAGAAATTGGATGAAAATTTATAGAAATAATGATTTGCGCAATTAAATGTGTAATTAAGGATGAAAATGCCAAAAAATAGAAGGTATGAATGTTTTTGCAATAATGGTGAAAGGTAGGTATATTATGTGCTAATTATCATTTTAATAATTTATTTGAGACTCATTTGAGATTTTCAAAAAAAAAATTTTGGGACTATGCTTACAATTAGTTTTTTATTTTTCCTTTTGTTTTATTTAAAGATAAGAGTATATTCGTCATTTCACAATTTTTAATTGACAAAATGGATAAAAAGTACATTTTGAGCAATGAAAGGTAGAAATAAGGGTGAAAATGTCAAAAAATGAAAGATAATGACATTTTCCACAATAACAGTGAAATGTTGGGACGTTATATGCTAATTATCCTTTAACTTTAGAACATGCTGGAATTTACATAAATTTCATATTTTATGCAAAGTTCACAAATATAGCAACCTTATTTCAACATCAAAATTTTAATGAAAGAACAACTCTCAATCCATTAGAAGGTATGGGTACTAATCGTATCTCACATTTCCTAAGGCAAATCGAGTATCTTATTTTGCACCTATTGTAACATATTTTTAACGACCCTACCAATCATAATTTAACGTTAAATATTTATATATGAGGAAATTACACACAAACCTGTTTTTAACTTTTCATTTTAGAGCTTGTTTGGGAGGGATTAAAATTGAAAATATAGTCGTTCGAGTTGACTTTTATTAGACGAGTGGGACTCAATAACGACTATATTTTCAATTTTAATTGAATTTTAATCCTTCCCGAACAAGCTTTTAATAATAAGGTACAAAGATTTTTCTTTCAAAAATCATACGCACCCACCCATGACCCCATCCCACTAACACCAGCATCAACACCACACCTCCACCCACTAGCCCACATCCACACCCATGACCACACAAAACCAAAATCTATGTCCTCTACGATCTCTCTATCCGTGCTCTCTCAATTTACCGGCTCGCCTCTCACCAACTTCGACCACCGTTATAAAAAATCAACCATTGCCTTTTCCTTTCACAATCGATGGTGAATGAATATATAATCAAATCCCATTCGTAGGGGACGAAGAACACTAACTAAAGCTCCGGCCAAAATACTAATGAATTTGAAAATGAACTTGCAATGGTGGCTAATAAGGGTGTTTCGGGAGTAACGCTATAGTGGGACTACAGGGACGACGGATGTAGGCAGAATCTTCTTCCGTCGCTATAGTGGTGAATGTGAGAAATGGGTTGTGGTAGTGCAGATCTACGTTGTGCTAATGTGGTGGAGTATGGTGCAACGTTGTTTGTGTGGTGATGGGTTGCGGATCTGTATGATAGTGGTTGTGTGATGGTGGATCCCTGGTTGTGCGATAGTGGTTTAGGTGTGATGTTGGTGCAAGTGTGGTGGGTTGAAGGTGCAGGTGGTAAACGCGGTGGATTTGAGGAGGTAGTGGTGGTGGTTTTTGGTACAGGCGGGTGGCGATTGTGGTGAGTTGGGAGAGCGTTTGGGTTGTGTTGATGTAGAGTGGTGGTGGAGTGGAGTGGTGTGGCATAAAAAGCATTTATGACTAATTATTTGGATAATTGCGAACAATAAAATGTGTAATCTGTGACTAAAAAATAAATTGGGACATATAAAAATGTGTGATTTACTAAAGGGACAATAGCAGCAGTAGTTTCAAACCTTTCAATTTTTTACAAATTATATATCTTAATATTTTATTTTGACGGCCGTAATCCCAAATCTTTGACTTTAACGACAGTTGAAGTCCATTGAGCAGATTCCATCCAATACTCCATTAGTTAATCTGAAATAAAATGTTTGACTCAACTCAACAAATTAAATAATGGGTAAAATGGTATATTTACAATTCCTATAATAAAACAATTAAAATAATTAATCAAAACAAAAGTATTGTTCATATCCACCCCACCCCACCCCACCCCACCCCACCCCCTAAAATAAAAAATCAGGAAACTCAGTCACTGTCACCATTGCCATCCATCCGCCCGCCGCCGCACTGCCCACCGCATACCCAAATCTCAAACACAAAAATTTAGGTATGGCCCAATTGTAGATCTGCAAAAACTAGCTCTACCCCGTAAATCATGAAAAAAAATCAACTATTGTTAACAACATGAGACTACCAATTAGACAAACGAGGTTCATCCAATTCTTGTATCGATTATTGATCTACTATTTGTTCTCCTTGTAAGGCAAATATTAGAGAACAAATTGTAGAAATTTATGGTCACCAAAAGGGCTAGGTGGTGCGGTATAACTGAAAAAGAGTTATTGGGAAAATGATGATAATTGTATCAAGCAGCTAAAGAGATTTGAAGAGAATTAGTGTCTTGAGATAGATGTACTTTTCTATGGATAATTTGTGGGGCTTCTAAACAAAATTTCCAGAGCATGCAAGATGGTCTCAATATTATTAAATTTATCTTAGCTTCAAAGTTTGAAATTAACTTTTAGATTCCTTCATCTTATGTCTTGTGGATGGGTGGTGGCAATGGCAATGACTGGGCTTCCCAAATTTTTTATTTTAGGGAAGGGAAGGGGGTGGGGTGTAGAAATGTACCATTTTACCTCTCATTTAATTTGTCAAGTTGAGTCGAACATTTTATTTCAAGTTGACTAACGAAGTATTGGATGGAATCTGTTCAATGGATTCCAGCTGCTGTTAAAGTGAAAGGTTTTGGACTGCAATAGACAAAACTAAAAAGTTAAGATCTAGTTTGCAAAAAAATCGAAAGGTTTGGGATCGTTGCTACAATTATCCATTTACTAAATTTGTAATTGTAACTCATATTTTGTATCTTTTTTTTACTTTGATGTGTGATTTGTGAATAGTTCGTAATTGTGATCATAAATTGTCTGTTATTGTGACTTTAACCTATTTAATTATGTTTGGAAGAATTTCACAATTTCTTAAATCTGAAAGTGTATCTTGAAACTATGATAATTATGTATTTGTCCCTTTATATAATTTGAGCAGGAGGGAATCTACACATATCTCACAATTTATGCAAGTTCATGAATATAGCAACTTTATTTCAACATCAAAATGAAAGGAAAAAATTTCAACCCATCAAAAGGTAAGGATCGTAATCTTGTCGCACGTTTGATAAGACAAGTTGAGTCTTTTATTTTGCATCTATGGTAGTAACATACCTTTTACAATTCTATCAATCATATTTAAACTTTAAATATTTATATAATTTGAACATATTTCACATTTTAGACAAGTTCATAATTATATAACAACCTTATTCCAACATCAAAATATTAATGAAAGAATAAAATTTCAATCCACAAATGCTCATTTTTTTCTGCACTAGCAACCTATTCTAAATGCTTATGCATAATTCATAATAAAATATATTATCTTTATTAATGGCTGATGCCATTTGTTCATTATTTTAGTAAAAAATTATTGTGCAGTCACTTCAAAGTTGAACCAACCACCATATATTCCATTTAGTTCCCTTTTATATAGCCGGAATTTTAGGTTGTGTCCGTCGATTAAGAATTACTCTGCGAATTCCGATATGAACACAAGTAATCATTTCTTGACACGATTATTCTTGTTTTAAACATACAAGAAATATACAATACTATCTAGTCGAGTCGTGTCATGTCCCACCAAAAGATCATCGCCCGAACCAGAATGAATCAATGATTATAGTTGGTTAATCCAACAACCCTGTTCTTGATTTCCTCTGGATTGGCACCCACAAGCTTATCCACCACAGCCCCTTCCTTCATGAACAAAAAGGTGGGCATGGCCTTAATCTCCATCTTTGATGCCAACTCCTGATAAAATAAAACATAATTCACAGACAATTTGACTATGATTTCATGTACTAAGATTGTATTTCTGGCAGTATATTACCTTAACCTCATCGACATCCACCAGGAGAAAATCAATATCAGGATGACTCGAGGCCAGTCGTTCGAAAAATGGCTCCATGGCTACTGAAGGCAGGCACCATGAAGCTGTAAAGTGAACTATAACCTGCAATTTTCAAATCTCAACGCTGCCTATTTATGAAAATTGTGGATGTGTTGTGATGAAGACTTAATATAAATATCTGTCTCGTCTCTAACATCTTAACTTTTGTGCCACGACTTTGTTGATAGAAAAGGAAAGAAAGGTTACGTCGAGACTTACAGGACTGCCTTGTTTATTAGCTTGAGATGCAATGAAATCCCATGTTTCTTTGGAGTCTATGTGGACAACTCTAGACTTCATTATTTGCTGTTGCTGTGCCATAGTAACGAATGAATTGAGTCGAAAACTCGAAAATTTTCTTTGAGTTGTGTAGGGTGCAGTGTTCAATTTATTCTGGGATTTTAACTGGGATTGAAATGGATGGGATCAAAGTAGGACCCTCTTTAAACGCCACACAGCTTCATTATCTATAACAAATCTACTCTATCCAATTCTGTGGGCTATGTTAATCAAATATCTAGAACAAATTGAAAGACAATCTTACAGCAAATCCCATTTCTCAACGTGGATGTTGATAATGTAAAATAGTAACATCAACTACAAGAAACGGAGCCTTGTTTTTGATAAATTTGAGGTTCGTTACATTTTGATTCCTTTTTATATCTTTAAGAACTTTTAAGGAATGGACATAGATCTGTCATTTCTTCTAAAAATTCTTTCGAATTTGAAATCTTATCTGTCAGTTCTTCTAAAAACTCTTTCGATTTGAAATCTTAGTGCATCTTGTGTGAATCCGTGATGATGAATCCGAAAGTATTTTTTCGGAAATCATAGAATTTCGTTAAGGCAAATTCATCTATGATGGTTTGTGGTTTCAATTGGTTATATGGTTCATATGCTCGGAATACGATTTGAACTGGCGACACCAGAATTTTGAGTGCATCTTGGAGTAGTTGGTTTCATGGTGGACTTACATGCCTGCAATAATAATTACGATTTTTTACTACAATTTTCAAAAGATAGCTATTTGACTACTAAATTTATATCAATATTAACTAGCAATGAAGTTGCGTGTAGCTCTCTTGTTCTACTTCAAGACAACATTACCAAAATACAATTCAGGGACAACATTGTTTTCGATAGGACCCACATGTACGCCCCACCAAAATTTGGATTTTACAAAATGACTAATTTATCCCCCATCCAAAAGGATTTGCATTTGGTGGTTAATAGTAGCCCCCACTTTTGAAGCAGATATAATCAAAACAGCCAAAACTTCTTCACTTGAGAACTATGGCAATCACAGCAAAGTTCAATGGAGTATTTGAAGCTCTACCATCAAATCCCAAGCAGCGCCAGATAGAGAAAACGGTGAAAAAATTGACAATTACATGCTTTTTTTGGCAAGAAAATGGATGAATTTGAAGACAACAAAGTGCATACAAGAAGAAGATTGGCAACAGGCCTTGCTTCAATTGCACTCTTTGGAAATACAAGCATTGGAATTTCTCTCGAAGAGGACAATGGATTTTGGCTCACAGGACCTTAACCATTACCCTCCGTTAACAACAGTAAGTTCTATACTTCATTTTAGCTCATATTTGGTTATGAATAGAATGGCATAAATGCATCACAAAAAGAAGTTATGTAAGAAAGTAGATTTCATTCATATTGAACAATTTTCCCATTCAATTACTGATTGCATTTGATTTTATGCAACAGATTTGTAGAGAACATTAAATATCCGAATGTATGTCTCCATGGATACACGTCAATGACAGAAAATGGCAATTCCGTCTGGTATCCATGATACAATGACAGTATACACTTTACTTACAAATCACAAGCGGATGCAGTTAGAAGGGCGTTTTGTTATTAAAAATCAAATGCCATAGAAATACAAATAACACACGTTTCCTAAATCTAGAACAGTTACACTATCAAAAATCAGCCAATGCTAAGGCGAGAATCCGTTGATCTGAGGTTGGTTTGGCGCCTGGGGATACCAATCTCACAAGCATTTACACGTGCTGCAAACCGTAGTGAACAAAGTGATTCACCAACGGATGAAGGGTCAGGTGAAATGTTGACAAACATCAGCGTCTTTGAATCTCCACCTAAACAAGGCTGAAAAGGGAGAACATTAGCAAGACCTTTACGTGGTTTCACATCTTACCTTTTAGCAATGTACTTGTTCAGTGTGCTACTCATCATTCAGAAAAGATAAATTCAGATTTTTATTATGGCTAAGCATTTAGTATATCTAATCTGCCCTGAATAATTTTAATAATTTACCAGCAGCTCCACATATTTTCCCTACAATACATAACGAAAACCAACACAGCAAACTCAATCAGCTAAGATGGTTTATACCAACTAAGCAACTAGAATGTAACTACTCAGAAAGGAAGAGCTCGTAGCAGCACCAACTGCACTAATCCAAATTTGATAATTCCAGTAGTCTTGTCCTAATCACACAGCAATATAAGCTTTCTCAACAGCAAAAGAATTATGAATCTCATCCATACATAACAATTGATCTTAGGGCATTATAGCATTATTTTGCCTATGATAACAAATGTTAATGTTGGTTAAATCCAAGTACATAATCATTTTAATAATTATCAGTAACATCACCAAATGTTCCCTACAATATATAACCAGGACCAACGCAGCAAAATTCAATTGGCTACGATCGTAAGGCAATTATAACCAAACTACTCCCAGGAAAAGCTCATTGTAGTACCAAGTGTACCAGTCCAGTAGTCTTGACCCATTCAAGTGGCAATACAACCTTCCTCAGCAAACAAAATGACAATGAATATCATCCATACATAACACAATTGAGTTTAGGGCGTTATAGCATTATTTTGCACATGATGACCGAATGCTAATGGTGGTACACCCTATCTATCTTCCTTGGCCAGCCATAATCAAGCCTTGACTTAATTCGTTCTAACATCATTCTCACTCGAACTTGTTCATACGCTATCAAGGCATAAATGCTGAAAATTACCTGAAGAAGATAGGTTAGCTTTGAGTTCCTAAATGGCACATGCTCCTCCTTCTTGGCCAAGGCAAATATAACATCACTTAGTGATGACAAACTCTTGTTGATAGCCTGAGTGTTACTCAAAATGAGAAAGATAATTTAGGAAAAATTTGTACAATGAAAAAAATCGAAAAGTAAATGAAAATAGTTCTTATTCTAATACCTGAGTTTCTTTTAGACGGTCTCCTGTAGATCCACTCTTAGAGAGACGCTCACTACCAGCAAGGTCAATTAGATTGAGGATACCTTGCACTTGTTGATCAGTGCCCTATTGCCACAAAAAAGGTAACAAAATCTGTGACCATGTTTGCTCAGACCAAGATAAAGATGGAATCATGACCATGATGCAACAGAAAGCAGGAAAGGTCCATTTACCTCATTAACGCCAAATATTCGTAGCGTAAAAACAAAATGGCTCCTTGAAGACTGTTCATTCATTTGAGTCTTGCCAACGGATCTAAAAAAAAAATTGAATTCCAGTTAGGGACAAAAGATCAAATGCCTAACACTCTGCCTAAATTGTACATGTCAAAAAATATATGATGCACGATGGTAGTCCATAGAGGTAAATAGAGGTCCGAACTTATATCTCAATGTGGGTGTAAAAGCATCTTTAAAAACTTTGAAGATCAACTTCCGGAGTAAAAACAACACAAATAATGGGGCGAAAGGTCCTTTTGTTACCTGCTATGTGCTGCCTGCTCTAAAAGATATGAGACCTCCTTGCTACTGTGAACATCAACAACTGTAAGATCAGAAACATGAGTGTTTCCATTGGCATCATGTTTTATAACATATTGCTTTCCCATGTTCTCTGCCCGGGGTGCATCAAACCCCAATCGATTTGTTGCTAATAAGTCTCGTATTGTTTCGTTGTATATTTCAAGCATTGACACCTAAAATAATCAGTTAAGAATAGATAATTAGAAGGCAGGCCTAAGCAAGCTCAACTAGTAGTAGAGATAAATGACAACGGCAATCACTACAACCTGCATTTCATATTTCCATCCTTGTGATTGAAGAGTTTGCCGGGTCTCAAACACCTGTTCTAAGGATCGTGGAATCAAACCTTTCTGATCAGGTATACCTGGCTTGCCCATCATTGTAAATGTCTTGCCAGAACCAGTTTGTCCATAAGCGAAGATACAAACCTGAGACAGCACAGTTATCAATGATCATTAGGATGTTAGCGAATCAAATCTGGACAGAAAAATGGAGTTAAAAAATAATAATCTGCATGCATAACTTGTGAAATCAAGCATTCTGTAGCCACGAGATTGATCACTAGTAGGAAAATAATCATAGCACACTCATCACGTGATCTAAGAATTAATATAGCAACCAAACAAATTCAAGATGTTACTGGTTAGCACATCATCTAGAGTTCAAGGCTCAAGATCGAGAATCCTCCGTATCTGGTGTAGCAAATCAACTAGACAACAACTATGGCAGAATGAAATAGCATAATCTAAAGGATAAGTAAAGTTTATCATCCAATAGCATGTAAAGTTCTTATGCAGCTATCAACCTCAAGCTCTGAAGTAAGAAACTTAAATGATAGATAAAATGGAGCTGTAGGGATTACATTACCTTGTAACCATCAAGTGCACTTTGAACAAGCTGTGAAATCTCAACAAATACATCTTCTTGGGAGGCTTCAGGTGTAAACACTTTGTCAAAAGTGAAAGAGTGCTTTTGTCCTGATGAAAATAGGAATATTAATGCATAGGATGTATCGCGATAATAATCAATCCAAATCCTATAAGTATAACACTTTGTGACTACATTTCAATCAGGGCTAACCATTTTGCATCAAATCAATTCCTCGATCGAGTGCTTCCATTGCTGTAGGGAATGAGATAACTTTAGCATCAGTTCCAACCCCATCATCAGACAATAGAGGTCTTACTCTACAGAAAACACGGATATTCCCTTTTAACTCCTGTATTGACAAAAGGATTCTAATTAACATCATCAGATGGAAGGACTGTAAACAAAATTTCAATCAATATTCAAGCAGGTTAAAATCAAATGTGAACATGTATTTACCAGTATAGTGTTGTGTAATTTCTTCCGAACCTTCTCTCCTTCTACAATTTTTAGTTCTGCATCAACCACACGATTCTGTAACTCAAGAAGGAATGCTTTTTGCTCCTCAAATTGACTCTTTGTCTCCATTGTTGATACATCAGACAGCTAACAAAAATGATAAAAGTAAAATAAGAAGAGTGTACTTGAACCAGTAGGATCCAGAACAGAGAAACCTAAATAAATTTTGTTATGCCGGTCAGTAGGAACTTTAAAGGAACCAAAAGCTGAAAATGCAAGATCGGGAACCTGCAATTTCTTTTCTGCAAAAGCTAGCTGCTCCTGCAGTCGTCTTATTTGCTCACTTTGAGATAAACATGTTGACTGAAAAAAAATTACATGATATTTGTTAGTAAATACATTTCTGTGGTTGAGTGGGAAAAGCATTGCATATGGAAAAAACAAACCTCCAGCTCATTTGATTTTAAAGTCAGGTTATCTAATTCCACAAAAGATTTTCCAGTGCACTCTTTATATCTTTCTACTTCAGCTGATAGAGTCTGAATTCGTAACAACTGGCAGTCACGGTCATCTCTTACTTGTTGCAAATCACCCCTCAAGCATACAACTTCATTTCCTAGTGCTTCCTTCTGTTTGATGGCCTCATCTTGCAAAACCTTGGAATATCAAGCATTATAAACCTTTGTCAGAAAACATCTGGTTAACTATTGCAAGTTCTCCCATGCAGATTCATACAGCAGTATGGCTAAAGAGGCAGTGAATTAAAAAAAAGTAAGACCAGTAGTTCAAAATTTAGAGCAGGCGTACATTTCCACAAATTCTTTAACTTACCCTAGTTCTCTCATTCAGTCCATGAGTATTAATACAGCAGTATGGTAAAAGAGGAAGTGAATTAGAAAAAGAAAAGAAAAAAGTAAGACCAGTAGTTCAAAATTTGGAAAAAAGCACACATTTCCTCAAATTCTTCACCTTAACCTAGTTGCAAAGGTATTCTAAATTGATGGAGATTAAAGTTTAGGAGAAATGAAAATTTCAAGATTCACATAACCAAACTCCAACTATGCTCAATATAAGGTCCAAAGGTGTCAATATATGAGAACAGTCTCCCGTAAAGCATATAAAGGTGTAACTGTGAAAATAAGTTGTCCTTTCTCTTGCAAAAAGGTATAATGGTCTCAAATATTAATAATGTGATGAATGCATAAAAAGAGTTGAGAGTTGTGCAACAAGTCAAAACATAAAGATAATACTCACTCTCGATGAAGTTAGCTGCTCCTGCAAAGATGTATAGTGTCCCCTCAAAGTGCTCAGGTTTTCAACCACTGCCGCCTTCTCTTTCTCAACGCGTTTAAGTGTCTCATTTGTTGCTGCAAGTTCTGATTGAAGTCTACTATTATATTGCTGTAAACTCGTGTTATACTCCTGCAACCGCTTGTACATATCATTAAGTGACTGTATCTGCACAAGCCAAACATGGACCCGAAGGATACAGTTTTCAGCAGATCATTTGTGAGAAACTATCACGAAATCTAATTTCATTTATTTGTCTTCTCTCTTCACCTTCTGGTTGGCACTAGCACTATCTTGTTGTGTTCTCTTCAGCTCTTCAGAGAGGGAAGCCTGCAATCTCTCTGCAGCTAGTTTACCATCTTTCTCTCTTGCCAAAGAATCCAATGCTTCCTGATGATCACATTAAAACAATTTAGTTCTTTATGAATATAAAAAACAATAGCCTCCAATGCCACAACACAACCTTGGCACGTTAGTGTTCATCTTACCAATTTATCCAATTCCTCCTTTGTGAACTTTTCTTGTAATGCTTCCAAATTCTTTCTCAACTCCTTAATGATTGAATTCAACTCTTCTTCCTTTGCCTTCATCAGCAACTCTGGGAATGAGGTAATAAGATTATTGCATGTTAGAAGTTCTACCTATTTCATGTATTCGTTAGCCTAAAGCACTGATGACTAAATCAACAAATCACCCATACCCATATCATTGCATTTCTTCTCTGCTGCTTCCAGTAAATTCTTAAGTTTCTCCTGTTCCGTAATAAAATTTACTTCTTGCTGTTGGAACCACCTGATGCATTGTTTGAGCTTTTTTATGCACTCGGCCATTTGCTCACTTTTTTCCTGGCATAAACTTCAAAAGTTCAACAAATAATCCCAACAAAACACCCAAGAAGAATGCAGCACAGAAATAACCAAACATTCAAGTTGCGACCAGAATCCATAACTTACCTTGTAGTTGAATTTGTTCTTAACTTTGAGCTTCTCATGGAGTAATGTCTCCACATCCTCTTTGGTGAACTCAATTACCCCACTATCAGAACCGGCAGTGCTGGGTGGCCCAGAAGTCTGGGACACACCTTGACCCCCATTAACTACTGAAAATGCTTGCCTGGTTAGTGTTCTTGTCCCAGCATTCGCTGGCATTTTCATGTTCCCAATTCTTCGACGTTTATCTACGAATACCTCGTCAGCAGTATACTTACTCTGGAACAACCAGCAAATCCCAGACAATAAAAACAGAATAAAATTATCAGAATAAGCACACAAAAATCCTTAATAACAAAATAACTAATTGTGGTTCTCTCAGAGCAAAAAGAAAGAAAATTTTTGGGCATTTTTTTCAACTAAAGGTGGACTCGTGACATTTAAACGGGACTTTTTTCTGAAATTTAGTCTGATCCCTCGATTTTCTCTGATATAACGGCTTCACTTCTTCCTATTTACGTGTGCTAATCCGGGAAAAAAAAATCCAAAAGCCCATAAGAGATTCAAAAGAAACAAAACAATGGGGGCTAAATAAAAGAAAAATTAGAAATTTTTAGGGATTTAATGAGGGGGGAACTTACCTGTGAAGGACTCGAAGGAGGCTTGTTCTGGTTTTTGGAGGCCATATGAATGATGATCTTTTGTGGGTTTTCTATTGAAGTGTATGTAGAGATAGAAAGAGAAAGTGAAGTCAGAAAGAGAAACGGATAGTGTTTCAAAATTTTGGTGGGGCCATGGTTTATTGCAATCGAAGCTAAGGCAAATTTGTGTCGTTGCTTTGAATTGCAGTAATCACTATTCACAGAACCACATAAAGACGATGAAGGAGTAAACAGTTACACACACCAACAATCAATTGTTCAACCAAAATTAGAAATTGGAAATGAATTTTTTCTAATTATTTGCTAATCTGCTTGATTTGGGATTAATTAACACTCTCTATCGTGGATTTTCTTGGTATCTTCGGTAAATGTGGGGTTAGGGTTTGTAGATCCGGTTGGAGACTTGAGAGAGACGGAGGGGAGGGGAAGGGTGGGGTGCGGGTCGAGGTTTTTGAAAATTTTCAAATGGAAATCCGGCGGCATTGTGAAAGATTCGTTGCAAAATATGGCTTGACCATTATGCCCCTACGGTCTTTTTAATTTATACGTTTGGTCCTATTTTTTTATTTTTTTTCTCAAACTCATTTTTAATTATTTCATGAGACTCACAAATTTTATCAAAATTTTATTCATATATTTAATCAGCTTTATCAAAATTTATAAATCAAGCGGGGGCTATATTAGCTCGTTTATTAATATTGAAAATAAAATACAAAAATTAAGAGAGAACTTGACCTAGTCATACTCTTCGTTTTACGTCGAGCGTAGTATTTCTTTGGTTCTGATCGCTTGTGAACTCATTACTCAAAAAAAAAAAAAAATTGAATAAGTTTATACGTTATTCTAAATTTGAGAAACCCATAGCTTCCTCACTGACAAAATCTTGAGAAATTCCCCTCTCCTCGAATGGAAAAACGGTGCTTCGGTTCCGATCTTACCTATTTTAGCAACACACATCGTTATCTACTAACCGGTGGACTTGATTTTTGTGCTCTACATGCTTCCACAGTGCCATAAATGTAAATTGTGTGTCGATTAAAAATTTAAAATGGAATTATTACTTGAAATTAAACTATATTTACTTTAATTTGGCTAGGGAAAACTTTTCCATCCCCTGAATAAAGGTGAGTTTTTGTTGGTATATCCATTTTGTTTCCGGGTGCTGTGTAGCATTTCTCGGTCATTTTTAAGAGTCTTCTTCTTTAGCCCATGTTGGTCAATTTGATATATACCACTTTCCATCCATGACCAAAGTGGTCTTTTGCACCTAGGAAGTTGTTTGATGCACACTTCTTGCCTTACTATACACATTTGTGGCTCAAACAGATGCTTAGCACGTGTTTGATTTTGATAAAAGAAATATCGATTTTAGTAAATTTTAACAAAAAATTGATGAATTTGTGTAGCTGAAAAATTGATTAAAAAAAAAAAAAAGGTGAATATCGTGAAATGTGTGATTGTCAAGCAGGAACTAAATATCAAGCAAGGAAATGGTATGTGAAATTTGTAACAATTGGTACAAAGCCGAAGATGTTGCCTAGTTGAATCTACGAGTATTTTTACTGATTCTCATAATTGCATTGAGATGTAGTTGTCGCAAATGGCTGTCTTATTTACCGTGAAAGCCATTCATCGAGGATTGTACATTGTTTGATTCTCAATATCTAAAATTCATTTTTCTTCAAATTTACTTACAATTATTAATTTTATGAATTTACAATAGTCATTGATTTTCTGACTATACATTTCATCAACTTTGTCATAATTCACTAAAAATTTGATTTCTATCAAAATCAAATGGGGCTCAACTTTCATGTTGTGATTTGAATGATCAATCCCCATGTTTGGTTTAAACAAAAATTAGATTTTAACAAAATTTAATAAAAGTTGATGAAATATAAGAATGAAAAGTTATGGACGTAAAATTAATTGTTTAACTTTGATACGAGCTCGTTGATTGTCCTTCGGAAAAGCCACAGTCGATTGATAGAAACTGAGACTAGTTTCCGTATAACGGAATTCTCCCCATCAATCCGTCACCATTTTTTTCTGATAATTTATGGACACTACTAGGGGCTTGTTTGGTAATGCTAAAAATCCAATTAAAATTGAAAATATAGTCGTTATTGGGTCTCACCCGTCTAATAAAAGTCAACAATAACGACTAATTTTTCAATTTTAATCCGATATTAATCTCTACCAAACACACTCTAGAAAAGAATTTCGTCGATTGATTCTTCTACTTTTCGAAGGCCCAATATGAAAAATGTATAGTGCTTGTTTGGTAGGGATTTTTGGGGGAATAATTGATTTTAAATAGTGATATGATGGGAAATGTGTGGTTGAAAAAGAAGAAAAAATTATTGATATAGTGGAAAATATTATTTTATTGAAGAATGTGTAGTTGAAAATGAGAATTGATTTGAGAATCAATTCTCAAAATAGGAAACAAACACCCCCATAGAATCCTGCACCTCTATTTGCTGAAATTCAAGTTTTTTGATCGTCAATGACCAGTTGCAGACAACTAGAGATTCAATTTGAAGATCAAAACCCACAAAAATGGTGTCATCTGCTCAAAGAAGAAGCGTTTCAAGCCTTAACGAGGAAGGAAATTCCGAATGTCCATAAGGTGTTCGACGAAAGGTCTCTGTTAAGTCCACTCTTGTTCGGGAAATTCTTTGATCCGTCTGATGCCTTTCCTCTGTGGGAATTTGAGTCTGCTGTATTGTTATCCAATCTCTATAGCTCGGGCCAGCGCAGTGTGGATTGGTTCCAAACTGATGATGGTTGTGTTTTGAAAGCCGAACTACCTGGTGAGCGTAAGAGTGTCGTTCTTAACGTTTTAACTTGACTACATATGCATTATAATCATTTTTAGTCGATTGAACCATACCTCTGCATCAGCATTTTTTTTTTTTTTTGGATTTTATAATTCACATAACAGTCATAACTGAACCACGTTAAGGATAAATCCCATGATTAATTATCGAAATATAGACCAATATATAAGAGTCTGAACTATTCTTCTTAGCGCCTGTCTGTGGAGATTTTCCAAATCAATTTTTTTTTACCCTTTTTGGTCAACTTGGGGCCCACACAAGAGAGATTTGGTCAAGAAAAGTGGCTGGAAATTGTGGCCAACGGTGGGAAAATGGCTGCCCAACGGTAAGAATTTTACTATTAAGCATTTCCAGACAAGAGTTTAATAAGATTAACATTTTAAGATAAAATTCTAAGTTTTAATATGGTTTCAAGGCTCATGAAGTTTCACCAAGCAATTAGATTCGATCAAGATTAAAAAATGAGCAAACGAATTCTAAGATTGATTTGTTTAAATGAGCCACCATCTTGAGAGAACATGTTAAAATGATAAATTACAGGTTGATTAATTATCGAAAAATAAACCAGCATACAAGGGTGTGAGTTACCATGTTGACTTTTTAAGATGAAATAAGTGTTAATAAATCACAGTCACTTTGCAATGCTTGTGAGTTTGAGGCTTCATTCTTGAATTCATGGTGTCACAGCTAAGCCCCTGTTTGCCCCCCATTAATTTAAATTTTTGGGGGGTAGATAATTTTTAGAATAGTGATTGATGGGAGATGTGTGGTTGAAAAGTTTTTGATTTGTGTGTATTATTATTTTATTTGATGAATGTATGGTTGAGATGAAGAGAGAGAAAAAATTAATGTAATGGAATGTAATATAATGGGGGCCAAACAGGGGCTAAATTTAGAGTGTGTTTGGTAGGGATTTTTTTGGGGGGTAGATAATTTTTAGAATAGTGATTGATGGGAGATGTGTGGTTAAAAAGTTTTTGATTTGTGTGTATTATTATTTTATTTGATGAATGGATGGTTGAGATGAAGAGAGAGAAAAAATTAATGTAATAGAATGAAATATAACGGGGGGCAAACAAGGGCTAAATCATCTCAATGAAGAAAACCCTGGGATCAGATTTTAGTGGGGTTTTGGATGAATGATCAAGAGAATCAGTTAATTATCAATAACAATAAAGTTGTACAAGTAGGATTGAGGGATTTGAGCATATTTGGCCAAACCTAAATGCTTTGTGCTCGAGAGTCGAGAGACATGAGGCTCTATAGCATTTTCTTCGTTATTCTCAATAATTTAGGGTCAACAAGAATCATTTTTCTGTACTATATTGGGATTTCAGAGAATTTTCTTCGGACTTCTAATTTATTATAGCAGGAACAGGATTAGGCAACAGTACCCTTCAAGTTTGTGTTGAAGGTGGTAAGGTTCTGGAGATTAGAGGGGAATGGAGGCAAGTGCAACACAAAGATCCCAAGAGAAAGTTTTGAATTGTTGAATTTTTTTACAATTATTAAAAATTTAAAATAAAATCAAAAAAAAGAAAAAATGCTTTTTTACGCCTAAGCTTCGCCTAGGCTCGTAAAGCTTGAAGCTTGTCATCCATGTCTAGTCACGCTTTACTTTTTTTAGAACACTGGTCGAGAGACATGAGTTTCTATAGCATTTTCTTCGTTATTCTCAATAATTTAGGATCAATTACAAGAATCATTTTTCTTTACTGTATCGGATTTCAGAGAATTTTCTTCTAACTACTAATTTGTTATAGCAGGAACAGGATTAGGCAACAGTACCCTTCAAGTTTGTGTTGAAGGTGGTAAGGTTCTGGAGATTAGAGGGGAATGGAGGCAACACAAAGATCCCAAGAGAAAGGACTGGAGAAGCGGCCACTGGTGGGAACATGGATATGTTCGTAGGCTCGAACTGCCTGAAAACTTGGATTGGAGAAAATTGGAGGCAAATGTGAAAAACGATGTAACTTTAGAGATTAAAATCCCCAACAACTATTCGGATAGTGATACACTTCAAGCAAATTAGACGAACAAATTGAAATTTGTAAAAGTATAAAAGTAACACACATAAAAATATAAACGAACCTTTAGATCACGTGACTTAAAATAATATTAGAGTATTATAAAACTATCTAACAATAGTACACGCGACAAGATCGTGATCAGAAATAGGCTTTTGATTGTTAATTAAAGGAAATCAAAATCGAGCAATCCATATTAGAATTAAGATTCGATTGATGTCAATCTTCCCTAATTCTATTCACCGTGTGCATAGAGCGTCAAAAATTCTTGGTAGGTTTCCATGCAGGTGTGCTTATAATTGACGAGTACTTGCGATTATGCAAAAGAAAAGTAAAAGAAATTTGGATTCTTTCCGCTTCTTCCTCATTTCAAGTTTTATACTTTTACCCTAAAAATATTGAAAAGATAAAAATGGAACGATAAAATGGTTACTACGAGTGAAAATTACAAATATCAGAAAAATTCTAAAGAAAAAAAAATAGAATCAGCAAAAATTCCATATATTTTAAACTCACGAATAAACAAAACAAGATGGTCTGCCAGAAAATTAGTAAACCCCTGTCAGCTTTCATTCGAATAGAAGAATGATTTGTTGACAAGAATTTTCCTTGGTCAAATCAGTTATTCTCCTATCCCATTTGTATTAATATTTCAAATTTCAATTCCTTTGGTGGATCTGGCCCTACCCAAAACGTCCCAAGTTTTGGAATATTTCCATCTTCGCATCACCTGACCAATATTCAAGAATTTATCGCCTTTTCGGGTGTGTTTCACGATCCACTTTTTAGGTTTTGTTCAGTTTCTTGGCATTTTTCCTTGAACAGTGTGATTTGAATACACTTTTGAGCTTTTGCGTTGAATTCTTGAGGAGGGCCATCAAGATTCTCGTCGAAAAGTCTGGGATTGGAACACTTGAGAACTGAACTTCTAGAAAATTGAATAGGGTTAGTGAGAAATGCTGTAAAGACTTGACCTTAGAAGGTACATTTTAGCATTTGTGCCATTATTATTATAAATACGGGGGTTTGGTATTTGTTTCTATCTTTTAAGTCTGTTCTCTTGATGACATGAGAGACACTGGATACAACAGGGATGACAATAATTCTAGAAATTATGGGTATAAGTATTGTTTATGTCATGGCTTTCGCCGTTCTGCTTTCCACTTCTGTAGCATCGCTCGTGGAGAGCAAGTGGGAGGCTCAAGAACCTTTATTGGCTTATCTAATCGACTCCGGGGAGATAAATCAGCAGATGGTACTGAGCTGTTACTCTTGTTTGAGTTCAATTAGTGTAATAAACATATTTATTCATTTATTTTCGAATGCTTTCCTTACCCTTTTTTGATAATGCTTATCTTATTCATTAGCATTGCTTATGACGGATACTTTACCTTAGTTGTTTCCATATAGGAACTTAGTTCTAGGAGATGGTGAAAGCAATGCTGTTATAATTATTGTTTTTGCTGCCAATAAAGCCTATGTGCATGTTTGTTCTAGTAGACTAGTACCATTGCCGCCTAGCATATAAATTTGTCGAACAATTCAATTGATATCTTTGTGTAACCTTCTGTTTCAGGATGTAATGAAACTTCTTTAAATGGTTTTGAAACACAAGTATAAAAAGAACATACTTCATTTAGATCCTTTGTGCTGACCATGACTGGTTATTTCAGTTTTCTACTAGTAGATTTACATATAACTTCAAGTCTATTTATTGTCTGGGCAACATATGACATATTCAGAATTAATATTTGGAATAAACAAGGTGTTAAAAAAATCTTTCCATGAGGTTCTGTGTATTAAATAAATTCCTTATTGGTTAAGGAGTCTTCTAATACTTTGTGTGCTAGTAAGACCAAGCACCGTATCCATATAACTGCTTGCCACCTCCGCTCGGCCATCCATTCCGAGTTTAGGAACCTAGGTAATAGTATCCCGATTGGACGACTCCCATACAATTGTTGCGAGAGCTGGAGAAGCGTCTACGGGTAAAGCAAGGGATCGATATAACTGCTTGCCACCTACGCTCGGCCGTCCATTCCCCATGTATTCTAAAATATATTAATACTGAATATCAATCAAGGAGGTATTTGGGTATTCAGTGAGTTGGACGATTAAACTACTCTAAGTGTCTTCTTCGTGTTGGATGCAACCAAGACTAACGTGTTTATGATGCTGTGGAAGGTTATTTCTTTTCCTTTTTAGTAGACACTATAGTTATTGTGTTCATGAGATAAATGACTGCATCGACTCCAAAAATACATTTTTAGTCTTTTTCTTTTCTGCATTTTGGGAATAGTGTGATGTTGGAAATTGACGGGAATGAAATAAGTTAGATGATGACGATTCCAGATAAAATGTGTTTCTTTTACATTTAACACAATGTTGCAGGGTTATTATTTGGGAGAAGGTTGTAAGATCATCTTTAAGTCTACTGTTTACTGAACTGCCATTCTTCATGAGTTCCATTTGATACAATGCTACTTTGTTACTTTCTAGATTTTTTTCATTCTCACTTCAAATTGTTTCAATTCAAATTTTTGTTTCATAGTAAGAAACTTGTATGATGCCGTAGAATGTGGAGGTGGGTTATGGTAAATAGGTTGCACCATCTTTTTGTGTTTTAAACTAAAATTTTGTACTTATCATAGATGTAGCAGTAAGGATTTAACTATTACGAAGCTCGATGAGACATGCATTATTGCATTTTCTTTATTTATTCTAAAACAGATTTCATGAGCCCACGTATTGTTGTAGACCTGTCTTAAAATTTTCTTACTGTTCCAACAAACGTGCTTACAGATTTCAAGCTCGTTATTGTTGTTGATGTTGAAGATGATGACTCACCTTTGACATTGATTTCTCATTTATCGTATTTCATACACTGACAATACGTATTTTGTGCCTGTGTAACTACCATTTGACAATCTGCCTTTTCTGTAACCTTTTTTTCTGCGACTATAAAAAAGTTACTTCTTCTAGTTATTAATTGTAAATAATTTTGTGAAGTAAAAAGTCTCATATCACATGGCAGCTATCTTTTCTAGCATGCCTTATGGATTTAATTTTCATAGAATAAGCTTGACTAGAATTATTAATACTCGTTATATCGTAACAGTGTGTATATCTAGAATGCATGTGTATATTCTAATGGAATTCCATTACCGCAGGCTGAATTGATGTGGATAAATTGTAGGCTTGAGTTGATACATGCCAAGGAAGCTTTAGAAAATCTTGAAGTTCGTGCCTCCGAGGAGTTGTCAACTGACAAGGAACTCTTGTCATCACCCAGATCAGATATTAGTAAAACCTTCAATGTCTTGCACCCACAGGTTAAGCAAATTCTGGTAGACTGTTTACGGGAAAGAAATTTCGTGTTTCCTATATCTGAAGAAGAAAATGGTTTGAAAAATTGGTACACCAAGTACATGGGGTTTTTATTTGCCAGGCCAAATTCTTCTAGAAGGCGTGAATTAATTCAGAGACTTGGAGGAGCACCAGCACCAGCACCAGCACCAGCACTTTCGTCACCTAGTCCAGAGTTAAATGATTCGGGCTTGCAGCCTACATCTGGTGAACATTCCTCGAATAGTCTAAATTCTGCTTCAGATATACAGTCAATCAAACAAAAGAAAACTGTTGTTGTTGCTGTTGTTGTAAGTGCTGCAGTGACATTTGTTTTTTCCGCACTGCTCTTTTTCTGCTGTCGCTGGTTTTGTGGGACTGGCTCTGGACGGGGAAGAAATGATGAAAGCCCTCTTCTCAGCTTAAGCTTAGGTGACTATTCCATTGGTACATTTGTTACTAACTAATTTGTGTTGTCATCTTAAGATTATCATTTAAGATTTCCTTGTCCTGATTCTTTCTTAAATTTCGATCTTTCAGCCTCTTCACAGAAGTCATTTGGTCTTCAAACTTCAGTGAAAGAAGAAAAGCTTGGTAATCAATCATTTAATAACAAATTGAACCAAAACAAAGTTAGCAGCAAGTTCTATATGAAGTCTCATTCTGTAAGTGATACAAAAATTGAGATTCCAGTTGGAACCATTGCTGCACCCACCATAAGCTCAGCAGATGATTCTGTGCAGATACCACCTGGAATGTTGGGTACTTCTGAATTGCCTATACTGAAGCCACCTCCTGGAAGGGCGGATCCTCCTAAACTAAATCCAGGCAAGACAGCTCTTCCCCCGCCCCCACCTCCTGTACCTGTACCAGCAGCACCACCTATAAAACTTTCGTCTGGTGGCCCTCGTCCTTTGCTGCCTGGGCCACCACCTCCACCTGCTATACCTTCTGGCATCAGGACTGGTCCTCGCCCACCACCAACTCCTCCACTTGCTATACCTTCTAGCATCAAGTCTGGTCCTCGCCTACCACCAACTCCTCCACCTCCTATACCTTCTGGCTTCAAGATTGGTCCTCACCCACCACCTCCACCTCCACCTCCACCTCCACCACCACCTCCACCTACTATTCCTTCTGGCTTCAAGACTTGTCCTCGCCCACCACCACCTCCAGGCAGTGTCCCTCCACCAAGGATGCTTCCGGTTGGATTGAAACCACCTCCACCTCTTGGATCTATTTCAGGGGGAGATGCAGGTGCTCCTAAAGCTAAGCTGAGGCCTTTCTTTTGGGACAAGGTTTTGGCAAACTCTGATCCTGCAATGGTTTGGCATCAGATTAAATCTGGTTCATTCCGGTAAGTCTTCTTTTCACCTAATTGTTGATGTTGTTCATGAATGCAATGATGAGTCCAGCTGTCTGAGAGATGCGGAATGTCTGTATTTGCAGTTTCAATGAGGAGATGATAGAAACCCTATTTGGCTACACCCCTGCTGAGAAACAAAAGAGTGAGGCCAAGAAAGACTTTTCATCTCAAGAACCTTCAACCCAATTTATTCAAATAATTGATTCAAAAAAGTCACAGAATCTTTCGATTCTTCTCAAAGCATTAAATGTGACTATAGAAGAAATCTGTGATGCACTTCAAGAAGGTGAGTTTATTTCTCTATTCCTTTTTGAATTTGGGACCTAGAAGCAAGATTACTGATGATGTAGCTATCCGCAAGAAGAAAAATCCCACGTGCTTCACATAATGATCAAATGACCAAAAAAATATTTAGTCTAGTTTTATGCTTCATGGTGAGCATCTAACACATCTTTAACTAATTATTTCTGCCCTCGAGAAAAAAAAAAAAAACATAGCAAGTTAAGAAAATGTTCTATCTATATCAAGCCTCAGTGAAAACCAAGTCTTTATCTTTTGATGCTTGAGGTCTTGGAATGACTGAATCATAGTATTCTAACATAGAGGTGGGCATAAATGTTGATTTATGACATATTTCATAAACTACCTTATGGTTCCCTTCTTGTGTTTTGTTTGTGTATGAGAGGGCATGCGTGTCTGAGCAAGTTTCCATGTGTTAATGATGGTTTAAAACCTGAGTTAGAGATGCTGGTTCTCAATGTTTCCAATTGTTATTTTTTTTCTGTTTTGGTAATTTATTTCAGTCTCCTTAGAAGTATGAAGAATTATGGACATGATTCAGAATCACTAGGTGATGGTGTGCTATTAATCTTGGTAAAACTTTTTTTCTTTTAAATCAAATTCATAGACTTTCCAAGTGAGAAATTCATGATTTGTTTATCTTGTGACTACTTGTTGGTATTCGGTAACAACATCATTTCAAAATGACTCCTTTATTGCATATGGCTTCCACTTGTCCATATGTTCATAATTTTCTTTATGTGATGAAATTTCTCGAGTCAAATGATTTCTGGCCAGTTTTCTGAGGATCCCTGCTTGGGATATTCTCTGTTCAAGAGGATTGGTGGTTGGGTGGGCGGTGGAACACTTGTTAGAAAATGAAATGTTTTAGGTGCATGATTTGTCCATCTTACATGCCTTTTCATCTTTGATGAGCAACTCAGTGCTGCAACAAAGCTTGATAGGAGATAACAGCTATATTTCACTCACCAATATTATAATTGATTCATTAATACATAATTGAAGGGAGCGATGCTTTGATAAGAACTTCTGCCATCTTTTTTCTAACATGTTTTCCAATTTTGGTCGTCTCCCAAAGAGAGAATATTACCACCTGATAAGTGGTAACACTTGGATCCAAATTGTCCATTCCCACTCAGCAATAAAATCTAACAAAATGATAGCAACACATTGAAACTCATTTTATAAAATGTCTAACACGGGATTTAGGTTTGAGATTTCATATTATGGTGGTGTACAAACATGATGAGATGGATAGAAGAGTTGTACGCATCTTTAAAAAGACAAAATTGAAGTGGACGCTTTACTCGGGAAAGCTTGAACAATTGCTTGATTGTCAAGCAAAAAGGTGTTTGTAGATGGTTGTATTGGTGTATTGTTTTTGAAGATGTTTCCTTGAAGTTGAGTTTTGCTCTTGCATTATGATCTATTTATAGCCTATGAAAACCCACTAAGCTTTTTAACTGAATCAGGTAATGAGCTTCCTTCAGAGTTTATTCAAACTTTGATAAAAATGGCACCAACAGCTGAAGAAGAATTGAAACTGAAAGTCTACAATGGCAAGCTTTCTCAACTTGGTACAGCTGATCGCTTCCTGAAAATCTTGTTTGACATTCCATTTGCCTTTAAGAGGCTAGAATCACTGCTTTTTATGTGCACTCTTCAAGAGGATATATCAATGGTAAAAGAGTCTTTTACTGTTTTAGAGGTGAGATATTTGAAAACAGTTTAGGCACTCACCTTCTTAATTACTTACTGAGGCATCAATGTAAACTCTTTACCGTTAGCATTCTAGCCATCGATCTAACATCTTCAAACTAATATACTAATGGCATCTACACGTGTTGCAGGCTGCTTGCACAGAACTTCGAAAAAGCAGGTTGTTTCTCAAACTCCTTGAGGCTGTTCTTAAAACTGGAAATCGCATGAATGATGGAACATTTCGTGGCTGTGCACAAGCATTCAAGCTTGGCACACTTCTGAAATTGTCAGATGTGAAAGGAACGGATGGAAAAACAACACTCTTGCATTTTGTTGTTCAGGAGATAATCCGTTCAGAAGGTGTACGAGCTTCCCAAGCAGCCAAAGAGAGCCAGAGCATGTCCAGCATCAAGTCTGATGACATACTCAAGGATTCTTCCCAAGATTCAGACGACCACTTGCGTAGTATCGGCCTGCAGGTTGTCTCATGTCTAGGTTGTGAGCTCGAGAATGTGAAGAAAGCTGCAGATTTAGATGCTGATGATTTGACAGGAACAGTTGCCAAGCTTGGTGAAGCACTGAAAAACGTCCGGGATTTCCTAAATTCAGAAATGAAGAATGTTGCAGAAGACGGGTTTCATCAGACATTAAAGAGTTTTGTGCAAAATGCAGAGGCTGATGTTATGCGGTTGCTTGAAGAAGAGAAGAGAATAATGGTTATGGTAAAGAGCACGGCAGATTACTTCCATGGAAAATCTGGGAAGGATGAGGGTTTGCAATTATTTGTTATTGTTCGGGATTTCCTCATAATTTTAGATAAAGTATGTAAAGAAGTGAAAATTGCCCATAAAAATCCAAGTAGGACACCAAGAAAAGAGGATTTGGTAGTGACTCCGTCAAATCTCCCCACGACTCCTCCTCCCGATACTCGTCACCGATTATTTCCAGCCATCAAAGATAGGAGGATGTATAATTCAAGTTCAAGTTCAGACGAAGACTCGTCGTAGTTTGTACAGAACAGGTAAATTGAACTTTTCTACCACCAGATATAATCTTCTGGGAATGTGCAAATACATAACATTCTGAACTCTGTATAGCTTATCAATACCATAAATATGTTCAAGGCTAACATTTTGTCATTACTCGCTGATGACAATTGTGGCTCTTGCAGTTTTATTTCCGGAAAGGTAAATATGGCTGTTCACAATGTGACAGCTTTCGCCATCTTTATGTGACAGTTTGAATAACTAATATACCTTTGATTTTTAAAAAAGTAAAAATACCATAAATATGTGAAAGGCTAACATTTTTTTGGTAATTTATTCAGGTAGTGCAGAGGTTTAGAGAAAGGCCAAAGAAGCCTACTCCAATGAAGCTGAGACCTGACTGAAACTAACTGTCCAACGTTAGCAAACATTTTGAGTGCTGTGTAGAGAGGCTTGATTTGTGGCTTCACTTCAAATTTTGCAGATAGAGCTTCAGTTGGGCATCAGTATTTTCAAAGAATTGCTAAATATTTTCTGTTTTGATTTCCTCTCTATTTTGTTTTCTTCTTCAGTATTTAGAATTTAACTGCAGGTAAAAGTGCTTCCATTCTCAATATTCAAAGTTGATGAAAAATATGATCTTTTAGCACCAAGTTAATCAAATAGTATCAGTTGAAGTGCTAAAAAGTTAGTTCCTTTAAATTTTAATTTAAATTAGAGTTAAAAATTAATTTTAATAATTTCATGGGACTCACAACTTTCAACTTTTAACTAGATTTACTAAAAATATGAATTTTTACCCCATCAAAGAGGGGCAAAATTACTATAGATTTGAATTTTTTCTCCTCTCACTCTCGAGACTTTTTCACTCACACATTTTATCAAAACTTTAACCCTTTTAATTTTTCATAATTTCTCCACAAATGATCACATCTACTTTAAATTTTCACTTTCCAATCAAATTTTCAACTAATTAGATTCTAATTTTACATTTTCTCCTATCAAATTGTGTATATAGAATGGGTTGGAATGATTATGTCTAATTTGACTTACATTTAGCGAATTGTGTTTATTTGAATTGATTATTAGCATTGAATATTAGTTATAAGTTTTTCCTTCCGATTGTTTAAATTGATTTTTTTATCAAATACACTATAAAAACGTAAAAATGTGTTTTTCTTGTGATGATTAAAATATTAATAAAAGGAATTTTTGAAATCAAATAGATGAAAATAATGAGCAAAATATTAATGAAGGAATATTTTTTAAACGTAAATCTGTGTTTTCTCGAGTTTAGTATAAATAATTCAAAAATCAAGAACAAAGTATTCGGTCTCTACATGATTTGCTTATGCCCCCAACTCAAAATGTCTGCGTTCGCTGGTTTACGACCCTCAAAATAGCATTGGGATGTCAGCTGGAAGCTAAGGATTTTGTGGCTTCAGCTAATTTTGTAAGGTTGTACTATATGTATATAATGGTTTGCATAATCATTTACGTACACATGATGTAGTTAGATATAATTTAGTCAGAATTTTTTCAACCAATTAAAAACAAAAATCTCCACAATCTTTTTGACACATCATGATTTGTTTGTACACCATTATATAACTCCATTGCGTACAAGTATCATTATTCAATTTCTTAGTGATATTCGACCCCAAATTGAAGAAAAATGCTTATTTTGACAGCAAATTGGAGCATTCTTAGATTGATAGTGAAAGATAAGAAAACTTTGAAAATTGTTGATTTTATTCCATGAAAATATACACACGATGGTGTGCATTTATTACAAGGGATCAGTTACATAGATCTGCTTCTCTTTTATTTTTGCTTTGATGAGCCACTGAACATGGCCGATCAATTCACCCAAACTGTTCAGAACATCGGACACTGTTGTTGTCTTATTCCGCACATAACCGGAAGATTTGAAGCTTTCATCATCATCTCAATTTGCTCACCCTGCTGGACGCCGCCTGGCTGCTTCTGCGACATTTTCATCATCATTTCCTTGACAGCGTCGCACACACATTTCGAATTAACGCTCTTCAACTGTTGGCAACATTGCTGCATATCTTGTTGTTGGGGCAAACAAGTCCCACATCGGTTGTGGGAAAAAAATAAATCCACCTACTGGAAATGATGAATCAATGTTTGAAGAGTTTAAGCATTCAATGAAACGTGAGTTTGATATGACTGATCTTGGCAAGATGAGGTATTTTCTTGGCCTTGAGGTGTTGCAAAAGTCTGATGGTATTTTTATTAGTCAAAAGAAATATGCTCTGGAAGTACTGCACAGGTTTGGAATGGATAAAAGCAACTCTGTTTTCAATCCTATTGTTCCTGGTTGTAAACTTGGGAAAGATGAAGAAGGAGTTAAAGTCGATAAGACTTACTATAAGCAGATTATAGGGAGTCCCATGTATCTCACTGCTACACGACCAGACTTAATGTTTATAGTAAGTATGATTAGTAGGTATATGGAAAATCCTACTGAGTTACACATGCAGGCAGCCAAAAGAGTGATGCGATATCTGAAAGGAACTTTTGATTTCGGGATTTTCTATAGGAAGGGAGGAGATGATGAACTTATTGCTTATACTGACAGTGATTATGCTGGAGATTTAGAAGATCGAAAGAGCACTTCAGGTTATGTGTTCTTGTTAAGTTCAGGGGCAATTTCTTGGTCATCAAAAAAAACAACCTGTCGTGAGTTTATCTACCACAGAGGCAGAATTCATTGCTGCAACCTCATGTGCATGTCAGGCAGTTTGGTTAAAAAGGGTATTAAGAAAGCTGGATCAAAATCAAGGCAAGACATGTATTATTCAGTGTGATAGCAGCTCTGCTATCAAGCTCTCAAAGAATCCAGTAATGCATGGTCGAAGCAAACACATTGATGTACGTTTCCATTTTCTTCGAGATCTTACAAAGGATGGAACTGTGAAATTGATACATTGTGATACACAAGATCAGTTAGCTGACATAATGACGAAGCCACTCAAGCGAAACACTTTTGTTAAGCTACGGGAACATCTGGGAATCTGTTCTGAAACTGATGTAAACTGAAGCTTGCAGCATTCAGTTTAAGGGAGGAAATGTTGATTTATGTTTAGGGTATTGTTTAAGTGGTCAGTTATTACCACGTATGTGTTTTCCCTTTTGTTGATTTAGTCTTCCTACCACGTTATAGCAGTTATGAAACGTGGGCTATGTTATTGCTTTCAGTTTTACTTTCAGTTCTCTGTAAGGCTATTTAACAGCCAAGTTTGTTATTCAATCTATCAACCTGATTTCCTCCATCTCCTATGTTTCTATCTTTATAGTCTTTATTTCCTAACAATTGGTATCAGAGCCGCATCACAGGGGCCTAATTATTAGAAGCAGCAGTCTTCTACGAGTGTTTTCTTTTTAGTTGAAGGATGACGACAGAGAGTTCGTTTGTACAGCCAGCCGTTCCAAAGTTTGATGGGTATTATGATCATTGGGCGATGCTCATGGAGAACTTCTTGCGATCAAAGGAGTATTGGGGGCTGGTGGAGAATGGAGTTCCTGCAGCAGCAGAAGATGCTATTTTCACTGATGCACAGAGGAAGCATTTTGATGACCAACAGTTGAAAGATTTGAAAGCTAAGAACTATCTATTTCAAGCATTAGATCGTTCTATTTTGGAGACAATTCTCAACAAGAAATCTGCAAAGGATATCTGGGACTCAATGAAGCAAAAATATCAAGGCACCACACGAGTAAAACGTGGAAACTTGCAAGTTCTTAGAAAGGAATTCGAAGTTCTTCACATGAAGGATGGAGAAACCGTGAATGAATATTTCGCTCGCACTCTTATCGTAGCCAACAAGATGAAAGCAAATGGAGAAGATAAAGGAAGTACTGCTATTGTTGAAAAATTTTAAGGTCTATGACTTCAAAATTTGATTATGTTGTCTGTTCTATAGAGGAGTCTAAAGATATTGATACTTTAACTATTGATGAGTTGCAGAGCAGTCTAATTGTACATGAACAACGCATGAGTTCACATGTTGAAGAAGAGCGGGCTTTGAAGGTCACTCATGGAGATTTCTCGGGAGGCAGAGGTCGTGGTTGTGGAAACTACAGAGGAAGAGGGAGAGGAAGAGGACGCAACAACATGTCCTTTGATAAGGCCACAATTGAGTGCTACAACTGTCACAAGCTAGGACACTTTGCATGGGAATGTCCACACAAGAACACAGAAGCAAATTATGCAGAGAATCAGGAAGAAATGTTGTTGATGGCATATGTGGATACCAACAAAGTCAATCAAGAAGACACGTGGTTTCTTGATTCTGGTTGCAGCAATCACATGTGTGGCATAAAGATTATTTCTCAGACTTTGATGGTATTTTTCGAGACTCTGTGAAGCTTGGCAACAACACGAGCATGGCTGTGTTGGGAAAGGGAAATGTCAGGTTGCAAGTAAATGGTCTGATACAGATCATTACAGGTGTGTTTTATGTACCAGAATTGAAGAATAATTTGATAAGTATTGGACAGTTGCAAGAAAATGGACTTACTATTTTGTTTCAGCATGGCAAATGTAAAGTGTTTCATTCTCAGAAAGGTTTGATTATGGATACGAAAATGACTTCCAATAGGATGTTTGTTTTACATGCTATATCTCGGCCTATAGCATCCACTTGTTTTAATACAAACACTGAAGACATCGAACAGCTTTGGCACTGTCGATATGGACACTTGAGTTTTACAGGATTGAAGACTCTTCAACAAAGAGAAATGGTGAATGGCTTGCCGAATCTCAAACCTCCTTCAAAGCTGTGCAAAGATTGTTTGACGGGGAAACAACACAGGAACTCATTTCCTAAGAAGACCACCTGGAGAGCTGCAGAAATTCTTCAGTTGGTGCATGCAGACATTTGTGGACCAATTAAGCCCATCTCTAACAGCAAGAAAAGGTACCTGCTAACTTTCACAGATGATTTTAGTAGAAAAACATGGGTTTATTTTTTGACGGAAAAATCAGAAGC